TTGCGCACAATATGTGGTCTAAGGTGAAGCACTTAAAAATAGTGGAGATTGGGCGTAATATGTTTCAATTTTTGTTCAAAAAGGAACATGATATAGAGATGGTGTTGAGCAAGAGGCCATGGATCTATGATGGACAGCCTTTAGTCTTGCTGCAATGAGAATCTGGATTGGAGGAAAATGAGGAAAAACTATGTAAAACCTTAATATGGGTGCAGATCTGGAACATTCCGGTGCATTGGGCAACAAAGGAAGCTGGCAGGAAGATTGGGAGTATGTTCCAACAGGTGAATGAGGTGATTATTCCACAGAGTAGAGGTAAGGAAGGTAAACACCTGAAGGTTCTAGCTGAAATTGATATTTTTATCCCCCTACCTAGAGGTGTTATGGTAAACAGTAATGATATTAAGAGATGGATTGAATTCAAGTATGATAAGTGTCCAGATTTTTGCTTTGGATGTGGTTTAATTGGTCATAGTGAAAGGAATTATAGCAAAGGAGGATTGTATAATGAAAAGGCATCACAATATGGGAACTAGCTGAGAGCTAGTTACCCTAGAAGTCCTAACAGAAGGACTAGGTCTGGTAATGGGAGTGAGGATAGGAGAGAGGAGGGGAGTCAGAATCAGGCTAGTAGGGAAGTGAGGAGGGAGGGGGAACATTTATTACTAACATATATTGATGATTTTGATAAGAAGGACGATCTTAAGCACACTGTCCCAGTGGAGTTGATTGGGGACAGTGGAACATTGAAGGGGGGTGGAGAGGGGATGAAGAGGGGATCTGATGAGATTGGGGAGAGGAAAGGGAAAGGTAAACAGGGAAAGGATGGATTAGATAAGGAAGGGACAAGGTTTATTGAGGAGGGAGAGGGTGATGGGAGGAAAGGGAGGCAAGGAGTACAGCAGGAGAAGGAATGCTCAGAAGTAGGGGTGGGGGACTTAGTTGATTTGATATGGATTGATGGAGTGAGGGGTAAGGGAGGTGAGGATAGTGTTGTGATAAAGGGAACGGGAGGGAGGGAAGGAGAGCTAGTAACTAAGAGAGAGGAGATGAGAGGGAAGGGGGGTAAACAGAGGGGAAGATCAAAAGGGAACCCTTCTGTAAGCAAGAGCTGGAGAAGGTTGGTTTTGGAGGTGAGTAAAAGGAAGCCACTAACTGGGGCAAATAGTGAGGTTACTGACAATGAGAAGGGGAAAAGAAAGGTTGGAGTTTTGGGAAGAGATGGGGGATTGGACCAAGCAGAGAAGGAAAATTGGAAAAGAACTAGAACTGAGAGTGGATCCTGTGATTGGATGGAAGTAGCTGAGGGATTGGAGTCCTCCCTTAACAGGACTCCAGCAACCAAATGAAGGCAGTGGTGTGGAACTGTCGAGGTGTGGAGAGCCCCTTGACAGTTCCCCAACTAAGGGAGGTCGTGAGACTCCACTCTCCTTCTTTAGTATTCTTATCAAAAACAAAAAAGAAAAAAAGTTATTTGAACAGTGTGATGCAATGGATTAGGTTTGACAAGGTTTTTGTGGTCGATCCAGTTGGTAGGGCAGGGGGTTTGGCTGTGATTTGGAAGTAGGAACTGAGGTGAAAAAGGAGTTGCTTTCTAGTTTCACCATAGAGCTACTAATAGAGCACACAGAATTTGGGTTTGATTGGTGGTGCATATGTGTATATGCCAGTTCAGATGCAGGGATCAGGAAAGAACAGTGGAATGTAATTCACAGAAGAAGTGCTATGTGGGGGGAGCATTGGGCAATTATGGGAGATTTTAATGATATTACCTCTAATAGGAAAAAGTGGGGAGGTAATCTGAGAGCTGAGGTGAGGTTCCAAGATTTCAACTCCCTCATCAATAATAATGAATTGGTGGACATTAGTTTTGAAGGAGTTCCCTGGACATGGTGTAATAACTGGGGGAATGAAGGAGAGGTAAAAGAGAGGTTAGATAGGATTCTGGGAATCAAGGAATGGATAAGGAAGATGGATAAGGCAAAATGTTTGCATGTGGAAACTGAAGCTTCAGATCACTGTATGTTGGTGTTGGATACAAATCCAGGGGGAAAATGTGGAAGAAAAGATTTATGTTTGATAGAAGGTGGTTACTGAATAAGGATATAAAGGAGGTGGTGGGGAAAGCTTGGGGAGAGCACCAACAAGAATGCAGGCTATATAGGGTCCAGTGTAAAATAAAAAAAGTAAGAATAGATCTCCTGAGCTGGAGTAGAAGAAGTTTCAGTAATGCTAAGAAGTTGATAGAGCAGGTTAAAAAGGAAATAGGGGAGGTTAAGTTGAATAGGCCAAGTGGCTTTAGGATTAAACTATTGGGGTTGAAGAGGAAATTGGCTACTGCCTATAAAAAGGAGGAATTATTTTGGAGCCAGAAGGCAAGGTTAAAATGGTTAAAGGAAGGGGACAAAAACACTGGGTATTTTCATGCTACTATGGCTGGTAGAAGGAAGGCAAACAGGATTAGAGTGTTGAGGAGAAGGAATGGGGACTGGTATGGAAGTGAGGAGGAAGCTAGGGAAGAGATTTTAGACTATTTCGAGCAAATTTTCACTTCAGTTAACCCTGAGGAATTTGCATAAGTGTTGCAAGGAATCCCACAGACTATCTCAGCTGAGATGAACAGGAAGCTCACCAGGGAAGTCTCAGAACAGGAGATATATCAGGCAGTGTTTTCAATGCAACCAAACAAATCCCCTGGACGAGACGGTATGTCTCCTTGTTTCTTCCAAAAGTTTTAGCAAATTGTTAAATCTGATATTGTTCAAACTGTTCAAAGTTTCTTTCATTCTGGTTTCCTTTTGAAATCTGTTAATGAGACCTTGATCAGCTTGATTCCCAAACTTGATTCCCCCCACTTCAGTCACTGAGTATAGACCTATTAGCTTGTGTAATGTTTCATATAAATCATTGCCAAAGTACTTACTAACAGATTTAAGAGTGTCCTGAAACATTGCATTAGTGATTCTCAGTCTGCCTTTGTTCCAGGCAGGCAGATTCTGGACAATGTGTCATTGCTCATGAAAGTGTTCATTTTTTAAAAAACCAAAGGACTGGGAAGGATGGTTATATGGCTGTCAAGTTAGATATGTCCAAGGCTTATGATAGAGTGGAGTGGGGGTTTTTAGCTAAACTTAGGGAGAAAATGGGATTCTGTACTAGGTGGATTCAATGGGTTATGGAATGTGCTACTAGTGTGACATATTCTGTAAACATTAATGGGGAAAAAACTGGTTTCATTAGACCTACTAGGGGCCTACGACAAAGGGATCCTTTGTCTCCTTACCTTTTTCTGATTTGTGCTGAAGGATTCTCATCCCTGATCAAACAAGCTAACAGCCAAGGCAATTTGAGAGGACTGAGAATTGCTAGAGGGGCTCCTTGTCTGTCTCACTTATTTTTTGCAGATGACTCCCTGATTTTCTGCAAAGCAAGTGGGAAGGAGGCCGGCCAGCTAAGGAGGATCCTAGACGTGTACAGGAAGGCTTCAGGCCAGTTGATCAATATGGAGAAATCCTCTCTGTTTTTCAGCAGAAATGTGAGTTGAAGACAGCAGGTGGAGGTGATGAGTGAGTTGAGGGAAATGCAGCAAGGATAGAATATTCTAGGCTTTTCGAACACCGGAATGTATACTGTTAAGTTAGGATATAGGCTGGCAAAGAGAAAGAAAAGAAAGAATGGTGCAGAGTGGACAGAGGCAGGAACTAGCTATAGAAGGATAGGTGCAACTCAGAACTGGAACTTCCTTTGGGGGTTGAACGTGAAACATAAATTGAAGCATTTCATTTGGAAATGCTTGCATGGTATCCTACCAGTAAATGCAGTACTCAAGGAAAGATGTTCAAAGGGAGACCATATGTGCAAAGGATGTGGGGAAGGTCCAGAAACTATTGAACATATGTTGTTCTTCTGCAGTAATGCCAAATTAATATGGAAAGCTGCACCTTTGAGCTGGGATGGTCCGAAGGAGTATAGGAACAAGTTTTGGCACTGGTGGGAAGCACTGAAGGAGCCTGTAACCAAGGAGAAAGGTAATGAGCGCATTAGTCTAACAATAAATCTACTTTGGCAAATTTGGAAGTCCAGAAATGATAAACAGTTCAATGGTCATGGGAGGGATCCATTGGTTGCAGCTAACAAGGCAGTGATGGAGTGGCAAGAATACTAGGAGGCTCAAGAGGCTGAGGTGGAATTTAGGGGCAATGGAATGAAGGAGGAAAGGGAGGTGCATGGTTGGGAAAGGCCACAGGAGGGCTGGGTAAAGTTGAACTCAGATGCTACCCTACCCAGCAAGGAAAATAGAGTAGGATAGGGAATGATTGCGAGGGATTGGCAAGGCATGGTGCTAGGGGCGTGGGCTGTGCCATCTTCAAGCTGTTTGAACCCAAAGCAGAAGGAATCAATGGCACTCAGAATGGCTATGAGGATGGCAAAGCTACAAGGATGGAAAAAGGTGGTGTTTGAGGTAGATTGTTTACAGGTAGTGGAAGAGCTGAACAGGGAAGGAAAGGATAGGATAGGATCAGTGATGATTGAAAATATAAGGAGTCTTCGTAAAAATTTTGATGAATGTTGTTTTACTTTCACTCGGAGAGTGAATAACTATGTTAGTCATACGCTAGCCAAAATGGCAGTTAGCTTGGAAAAATTAGCTGAATGCAAGGTTGACTTCCCAGCGTAGCTGCATGAACTTGTGCAGACAGATTGTAGGGGCAATTGCCCAAGCTTTTTGTAATATGTTTCCTGTTATTAATAAAACGTTGCCGTTTTGACAAAAAAAAAAGATTAAATAAATAAAGAGGATTATTTATTCATATATAACTCGAATTACCTAAAGAACTACAGTGGCCTAAAGTTGCAAAAGTTCAGGACAAAATTGCTTCTTTCCAAAATTTAAAGGTCTAGCTTTTAAAAAGAAAAATGTCGAGGACTGAAAAAGAAATTTAAAAATCAGTTAAAAGAGTAATTTACCGTTAATAGAATTTGCTAAATCCCCATGAATTTTCACCCATTTCGACAATTACCAAGCCGTCCTCTAAACCTCCAAACACCCCTCTCCAAGTTTTCCTACTACTACGGCTGCTGCCGGAATTTAGTGGGCCCCAGACGCCTGAGTAAGATGAATGCTGGTGGGTTAGCCTCCAACGGCCGTCAATTCAAGAACCCAGATGAGATGTGGAGAGAAGAGGTTGGTGATCAATCCAAGAAGTCTGAGTGGTACAATAAAGGTGTTAGCTATTGGCAAGTAAGCAATACTATTGCACTCGTCATGAGTTGATGTTTTCATATTAAATGAAAAATCATTGGAAAGTTCTAATTTTGGAGGGTTCTATTTGACTGTTATTATGCTGCCGGCTTGTTTATGGTATTTTTGTTGTTAATTAGGTAGTATACTTCTATTGCTTCCCATTTGAATTATGGGTTTTTTTTATTTTTTTTTTAACTTAATTTGATTTCTTTTGGATTTTTTTTACATGGAACTTATTGTAAATACTTCTATTACTTTACCTTTGAAATAATGGGTCTTTTTTTTAATTTTAATTTGTTTGGATTTTTTTCACATGGAACTTATTGCAAAGTTCTAGTTCTAATTTTGAAGTTTTTTGTTTGAATGAATTTATGCTGCCTGTATGCTTCTGGTGTTACTATTGTTGGTAACGGCGAGCTGGTGTTTATACTGTGAGTTCGTGTTTGTCTGTTTGAAGAAAAGGGTGTAGAGGCAACAGTGGATGGTGTGCTGGGCGGATATGGGCATGTGAATGATGCAGATATAAAGGCAAGCGAGGCATTTCTGAATACCCTTTTGGCTGAGAGGTTCACTGATGCTGGCAGAGGCCACCATCTTGTTGCTCTCGGTACAGACACAGCTCTTCACCTCTCTTTACTAATTGACACTTACTAAAATGAAAGGGGGAAAAGAAACAAAAAAGCCTTGGCTTTAAGAGAAGTAAAATTCTCTTTAGTCTTTGCACTCTGAAAACTGTGCATTTTCTTGTCCTTATGGTCTAAAATATTATTGCTTTTTGGCTGCAATATCAAAATTTTATGGTTGGAAAAGGAATTTTGGTTGAGTAAATATAAAATTACGACTTTTTGTTATGCTCATTAATGAACTTTTTGGTGATCTTGAACTATTGCAGATTGTGGGTCTGGCGTTGGGAGGGTTACCAAGAATCTTCTTATAAGATACTTTAATGAGGTATTACTTTATAAACCTTCTTTTATTGCATAATTTGTTAAATGAGGTTAGACTAAGTCCTTCACTTTCTCCTTGTGTCGAAGTTTCTATGAGGTGTTTGTTTGATGCCGTTGAAGAAAAACCCCGTTTCACTTGCTGTTTGTTTGCACTGATGAGCATTACGTCCTTTTTTATTTATTTTTTTTTTTTTTTAGAAGGAGGGGTGTTTCAGTGGGATACCATATGATTTATCTAGCTTTTTTATGAATTTGATTTCCACTTGATGTAGTGTTCATCATAGCTACACTAACTAACATCTTAGACATTTTCTTTGACATTTTGTCTTGTGGTTCTGATAATCTTTTCAAGACTTTTGATCTTTCTACACAATCTTAAATTAGTGCAATTATTTGTGATCGACCTTCATTCTTGCTAGTGTAGTAATGGATGTCTCCTACTATGGTGTTAAGTGGTGAATTTAATCACATACATGTTGAGCTTTTAGTTATGCAAGGCAAGGATTTCTTCTATGTGTCGCTTCTATATCTGTTTTAGTAGTTAATAGTGCTCCTATTATGGCATAGTTTTTAACTTTCTAGGTCATATGTGTTGTGAAAGGACTCCTTATCAATATTATTTCACTTGTGTGCTTGGAGGTACTAAGAAGAAGGTGGTATTCATATATATGCAAGGGAGAATCCCCTACCTTGTATGAAATCTGAATTTAAACTTAGAACCAAATTGAAGTGCTCCTCTATATTCTAAAAAACTCATTTAAACTAAAGTTAGATTGATAATAAAAAGTGCTATTGTTTCATTAGCTGTAGGAAGTATTGAGGAAGCAATCTATACAGACAACTACCAGTCTTCATTTTACCTGTCTTCCAACTTTCATTGCTCAAGCAAATAATGCACTAAAAAACCTGCATAGGAAATGTCAAATCATCACCAATGACATCAAAAACATTGTTGAGCAGTGTTATTATATATGTCTGAATAATTTTTATGAGACTAATCTATAATGAAAGTTGTTCGCTAGCACCATAACTAACATACTAAATTAAGTAAATAGTAGCCTTGTGAAGTACATTTTATCTGTCTTAGTAGCTAGCATGAGATTTTTTATATTTTCTGTTCCATGGAGATTAAAGCTGGACTTGTTGATTGATTGAACTTGTTGTTCATGTTTTATGCACTTGTTAACTTGTTTTCTTTTATTTAGGTTGACCTTCTTGAACCAGTGTCGCATTTTCTGGAGGCTGCTCGAGGAAATTTAGCCCCAGAGAATTTACTGGTCTCAGACTCGTACAAGGCTGCCAATTTCTATTGCCTTCCACTTCAGGTAATACATGTCTGTTGTTTCACTGAACTGATTCTATGCGTATGTGTTCTATTGATGTAATCACAAGATCATTAGGTTCTAATGTAAAATTACAACTTACCAGTGTTATTAGACATTATTAATGGAAACCCTTGGTCAGCAAATTCATCATTGCAACTAGCACTTGATATAGCAGATACTTTGTTCTTGCTTTTTAAGTTTCAATCATTGGTGCTTTTTATGTTCTAATGTAAATTTACAACTTGCCAGTGTTATTAGACATTATTAATGTAAACCCGTCAGCAAATTCATCATTGCAACTCACACTTGATATAGCGGTTACTTTGTTCTTGCTTTTTAAGTTTTGATCGCTGGTGTTTTTCAGAATTGTACATCACTAACCCAAAGAAAATGAAAAAATGCTTCATATCAGATTTTTTACTTTTCTTGCCAAATAAAGCCTTACCAAAACCAAAATTTAGATGGTTTTTTTGTATAATTGCATGAGAAAGCGTAGATAAGAAGTATGGTTTTGGGATTGTTAAATTATGCATTTTCAAAATTTATGATGTGTTTTATGATGTGGACTGTCATGACTTAAAGTTGTCTTTTAAGCATTTGTTGCTGTGTAATTACAGCATTAAATGAATTGGAGTTTTATTTTTCACAAAAGGGCTGACTCTGAAGTCTTCCAATGACTAATACTGCACCTAGTGGGCACTCTCTCATCTTGGTTAAGTGGGATTTGTTATAAAAACAAGTCAAAAGTCCAGCTAGACTGCATATGTGAAGGAGGAAAAAGTTGTATGGATGTGATTGCAAGTTGAAAGCTTGACCTCCATTCAAAGGCTTTATATCTCATAGAAATGTTCTAATTAGAGGTGATTTGGAAAGGTTCTGTATCTCAAAGAAATGTTCCAAACATTTAGAGGTAATTTAACCAAAGTCCATATTGCTTGCAGGCGCTATTATCGGGTACAGAAGATAACTTTTGGACTGTGCGACTAACATTTTCAAACTCAACTTTGACAAAATTTGTCGAAACTATCTGTGACATATAACCGAAAGTTATTTTAGCAATCCTGTTATGATAGCAAAACTCCATCAACAAATATTGTATATTCCTGCTGCTGCCAGATCATTAGAATCGTCACTACCAGAACATCTCCCTGAAGATGGTGGCATTTACCCTTTGCAATCCCAGATTTCTATTGTGTTTAACTGACAGTGTAACTATGCAAGTATTTTGACATACGGCACAGTATACACTACAGATATTCTTAGAAATATTGGGCAAATTATCCAATTGACCCTTAAACTCTTTGTCTAAGTAAAAATAAGCCCCTCATCTATTTTTTGCTGACTTTAAGCCCTCGAACTTGTAAAATTGGGCACCCGTGATCCTTTTACCCAGTTTCTCCGGTTTTTTAACTGGAAGGCCAATTCACACGAATGCCAGTGTGCTTCTTTAAAGGGCATATTTGTCCGCATCTTCTAAGCAAAAAGGGAACAACTCCTCCTTCTTCCCTTCATCTAACCTAACCTAACCGCTAACTTATTCAACAAACGAATTGCAGAGGGAAGAGAGAGAAGTCTGCAAAGAAACAGAAAAAGGGAAGAAGGTAAAATCTTTGTGAAGGGAAGGAAAAAATGTGCATTTTTCCACATACACAAGTTCTATGGTTTTGACAGCAGCATTTGGGAAAGTAAGCAAAGTTCACCAAATGACATTTCTTGCGGCTTCTAAAGGAATCACTGCCTATTTCAAGTGCTTTTGAGATTTCAGGTCTGTTTCCTTCATACCGGATACTTCATCCGTTAAGTAGAGTTAAGCCTAAGTTGATGAAGGTGCACCAAAGAATTGATAAAATTTTTGATATAATAATTGCTGAGCATGTTGAGAACCTAAAAAGAACAAAAAGGGGCATGGGCGAGTCTGGAAATGAAGATCTAGTTGATGTTCTATTAAGAGTTAAAGAAAGTGGAGACCTTACCTTTCCAGTTACCAACAATAATATCAAAGCTGTTCTGATGGTAAGTGAATGCTATTGTAATGAGCTTTTGCTTCACGCCTTACTTTTTCTTTTCAATTTCTGATTCTTTGGTCAAGGCAGATGTCAATAGTCAAAGTTTAACTCCTATACTGTGATAAAGAATTGATCAATTGATGGCATTCCCTAAAAAGAAGGTTTTGATATTGGTGCAAGATATATTCACAGGTGGGACTGAAACTTCATCCACAACGGTGGAATGGGCGATGTCTGAGGTGATTAGGAATCCAAATGTGAAGGCCAAGGCACAGAATGAAATTAGGAAAGCTTTCATGGGAATGAAAACAATTGAAGAAACTGATGTTGAGAAATTGCCATACCTAAAATTAGTTATAAAAGAAACTCTTAGGTTACATCCGCCTATTCCTTTATTTGTTCCCAGAGAATGCAGGGAGGAATGTGAAATTGATGGATATGTCATCCCAATTAAAACACGAGTTATGGTCAATGCTTGGGCAATTGGAAGGGACCCCAAGTATTGGGATGATGCGGAGAGTTTTAAACCTGAGAGATTCGAGAACCATCCTGTTGATTTCACTGGAAACAACTTTGAGTATCTCCCATTTGGAGCAGGAAGGAGGATTTGTCTTGGAATTTCTTTTGGTTTAGCGAATGTTGAGCTCCCTTTAGCTCTTCTGCTCTAACGCTTTGACTGGAAACTCCCCATTGGCCTCAACTACAACGACTTAGACATGACAGAGACTATTGCAGTAACCGCATCAAGGGAAATCAACCTTCTCTTGTTAGCCACCATGTGTGATCCTGGTCTCGTCCTCCAACCTCCAAAGGAATATTAATGCTTTTTGGTTGCACCAACATTCATACCATTTTATGCATTTTACCGGGATAATCTGCATTTTGATGTATGATAGATATTTGCAGATATTCTGCTCTGTTCCTTACCTTCTTCCCTTTTTTTTGTTCTTGGCAGACTTCTCTCTCTTCCCTCTGCAATTCGTTTGTTGAATAAGTTAGCAGTTGGGTTAGGTTAGATGGAGGGAAGAAGGAGGAGTTGTTCTCTTTTTGCTTAGAAGATGCGGACAAAAATGCCCTTTGAAGAAGCACACTGGTATTCGTGTGAATTGGCTTTCCGGTTGCAAAACCGGAGAAACTGGCTAAAAGGGTCACGGGTGCCCAATTTTACAAGTTCGAGGGCTTAAAGTCGGCAAAAAATAGATGAGGGGCTTATTTTTACCTAGACAAAGAGTTCAAGGGCCAATTGGATAATTTGCCCTAAAACCAAACAGTAAAGCATGTGGTAGTTAAGTGCTTTCAAATCTCAAAGTCGAGGAGGAAGGTGGTTGAGCTCTACAAAGAAAAAAGAAAAGAAAAAGAAACAACTTAAAGAGGAAAATATGCATGGGCAGATTCTTGACAGAAGCTTAATTTGCCTTTGATAGTTTTAAGGTTATGTTTCATGCCTATGGAACTAGGATGTAGTGGTATTATGCTATCATTTTCAGTTTTCATGAACTAAATAATCTACCTAAACACATAAATTAAAGTACTTTTGAATCCAGATTGATTGCAACCAGTTGAGGCGTTAGAGAAAAAAAGAAAGTAGAAGACAAGGAGTGAGTTTGGTTGGTCAACTGCCCCGCAATTGTGCTTGTGTATCCAGACTTGAAGTTTTCTTTTACCCTTCCCCTGCTTTCTGTTCTTATTGAGTAAAAAAAAATTAAAAAAAAATGCCTGAGAAATCTTATCATGTTTGATTTCCAATATTTTTTCTGATATTCTCCCAACATCTGTTGACGTTTCTTTTCAAAATCTTCCATAAAATTCCTGTCTAACAAAGACCAGTGGAATTTCAGTTCTACAAAATTTATCTTTTGTTAATCAGGCTGCAAATGAGTCAAGCTGGCTCATGAGCGCTCACAATCCGGCATGGTCAAAGCTCGAACTCGAGTATAGCTCGAGCTGGCTTGGCAAGCTAGTCGAGTCGAGCCGAGTATCTGTATATTCGGCTCGTTATTTCATCGATCCAGCTATAATTCATATATTCTTAATAGTGAAATTACATGTACGACCCCTATATTTTATTATGTATTAGCATGAAATGTCAATTTTATCCATTTTAAAAAATATAAAGATTATTTTTAAATTTTATTTGAGCCTGACTTGGAGTTCAAGCTTGAGATCAAGTTTTGGAATGAAAGCTCATCGAACTCGAGCTCAAATTCGAGCCTAGTCAAAATTGAGTCGAGCTCGGCTTGTTTAAGGAAAAGCTCAACTTGACTCGGCTTGTTTGCCGCTCTCTTTTCTTCAGTTTCTATTCCTGTTGTTTAAAAGAATCTTCACCCATGGATTCTTTGGAGAGTGGGGGGGGGGGGGGGGTCCAGAATAAATTTCATGCCAGAATTTTATATTCTTTTTTCTTCATTTGTTTTCTTGCTATCAACTGCTGATCTCATTCTGCATTTAAAGAAAAGTCTTGCTTAAGTTCTGCAATTCATCGTTGTATGGTGAAGTTTGACTTCAAAGCGCTGATTTAGACTTTTCTGTTAAGCTTTTTACAACATGTGTTGATGTATTTCTCATTTTCAAATTTCCTTTAGGACTTCACTCCTGATGCAAAAAGATATGATTGCATATGGATTCAGTGGTGTATTGGGCATCTTGCAGATGATGACTTTGTATCATTCTTTAAGCGGGCAAAGGTAAAGAAATCCTTCTAGGGTGGTTCATGATTCAATCCAACATTGCTATATGGTATCCACTTAATATCAGAAACCATATGCTTATCATGCAGTAACAGCTGGTGGATTTTCATTGAGGAAAGTTTTGATTTACATCTTTGAATCCTCTAACTAGGCATTCTTTTATTCAGTAAAATATAAGATTTTCTTTTTTTGTGATTGTGCATGTTGATTGCTAAAAATCTGTCCCTCTTCCCTTTATCCCCGTTTCTTTTTGACAGTTCCTTAACTAAGAACAATAGAGATGGTTGAACTTTCCAAATGTATTTATCTGGCAGTCATTTATTCACTCGACCTTTTGGCTTTTCAGCATAATAGAGAGTTTATTTTTTTTTGGGTGGGTGGGGGAAGAGTTTATGAACCTTTGATCAACTACACACTGCTAGTGCAGCCTAATGAGATCTCCAATTTGGTTTTCTGCAACTCTTTATTTAGTAAAAGTCTGAATGTTATAAAACTGTTTGAGAACTTTGTCTTGGTCCGGTAGAGTGCAGAACTAGAATCTGGACCATTGCAGCCAGAATATTTATTAGATGTTAAGAGTAATATAGCTTGTAATGAACAAAACTTTCCCGCTTTATTTCCAAGTTAGTTATAAATAAAAACAGGGGAACAAAGTTGACGTGGAGCTACGAAAGGTAAAAAACAAGATTTTCTGTCAGATAAAGTGCCAGATATATGCCATTTTTTGATGACTCTAAAGTGTCTACTATATCTGGATGCTGCAGGGTATTGGGTTAGATTTTCTCCTTAGGAATAAATGTGTAGCCAGAAGTACCATAATATATGCTGATGCTATTGTTGTTGTTTCCCTCATTGCTGTCTGTCTTGCAGGGGGGCCTCAAACCTGGTGGTTTCTTTGTTTTGAAGGAGAATATCGCTAGAGCTGGTATTACTTTTATTATTTCAGTTAATTGTGATTTAATACATAGAGGACAGCTGGACCTTGCTAATTGTATTATATCATGGTTACAGCTCTCATGTATTAACTTTTTTCTTTGATTTCTTCCAATTTCTCAATTTCTCCATTACTTCTGTTGTAACTCATGTGCATCTATCATGCCTGACCAAATTGACAAGAAGAGAGAAACTAGATAAGCAGACAATTTTCAAATGGCACAATAGGTTTCCATTTCAGGTTCATCACAAGGTGGTTGAACCTTAGATGTCCTAGTTCTGTAGGCTTTGAAGGAAAGAAAGATGAAGTAGAATAAATAAGTTAAGTCCCTGATTTAGTTGAATTATCATATCTCTGCCAAATAAAAATAACATAAAAGAGCAAGTAAGCATTATATAATGCTTTTAAGTTGTGATCCTGTTCTAAGATCTCATTATTGCATCATTGGATTTACCCTGTAGAGAAGAAATAGTACTTGAATTCGGGCATTAAATTACCCCACCTAGTTGGTATTTGTAATCAGTGTTGGTAGCAATGCCAGCAGTAAAAGCTCAGTGAATGAAATCAAAAGAGAGAAGGCTTCTTGGGTTATGAAATGATGATCATGCTATTTTCATGTTTTCTTCTCTATAACTAAACCCATTTTCCTATTTTTTGGAGGCTCTTGTTGTGGGGGGTTAATAGTTAATGGACCACTTCCGGAAAGTTTTTGAACTCCCCACTTGCAATAGAACTGAAATTATCTCCTATATGCACATAGTAGTAACCGCTAGAAATAAAAAAGCAACAATTAGATGCCCAGAGTGACATTTGATATTTAAGTTTGATTTAGTACTTGGGAATTAATAATTTTGTGCCTTCATTTATACCATCACCTTAAAATTTTTGTCAAATTGTAACTTGTTAATTTTTGGAAGGATTTGTGCTGGATGAAGAAGATAAGAGTGTTACACGATCTGATTCATACTTCAAGGAGCTGTTCAATCAATGTGGATTGCATATTTGGAAAATGAAGGTATTATCTGAATTGTGAACTTTAATGTGTGGTATGTTCTTTTCTGTGCAATATCCACACAAATCGTCAGAAATATACAGTTGACTGAGGTTTCTAATTTGTCTAACTAATATTCTGGATCAGAAGGTCATTTCCTGCATTAATTTATTAAGTTTTAAGAAGTTGCTGGACCACAATGCAATCCCTTTCTTGCACGTCAACCTATGGTTGATGCTGTTTAATCAATGAGTTCAACTAGAATTGAAGAAAGAGTTTGTTTGTGCAGCTTAAATTACCTGCAAGAAAATTAGTTTGAAGGGAGCCCTCTAAATTGGAAGAGTGAAATTTTGTTGAATGCATTTCTTACACTGGTGCAGGATCAGAAAGGATTTCCTGATGAATTATTTGCTGTGAAGATGTATGCGTTAACAACTGAAATACCAAAGATAGTTAATCCATCCAAAACGAGGAGGCAGTCAAAAAACAGGCCTGGCGTGATCAAATGAGGAGCATCATGGACCATGGGTTTCATTTTTGTCTTTTTGAGTTCTCAAGTTAGTTTCTCCAATGTATTTTAGAAATCATTTTTCCTTCCTCCCACACCTTCCCAACTGAAATTGTTAGGCTTAAGATTAGAACCTTGGACCTAACAGCGGGGAGCTATGTTACCCAGGATCAGCTATGGGAGACACGGCTACTCTAGTACAAAATGAAAAGTCAGACACAGGTACAGCAGGACAAAATGAAGAGTTTGGTTAACATTGCTGGAGAGGACTCTTAAGAGCCCTCTCCTCTCTCGGCAACTCTAGTTGTTGTTTCTTAGAATTTTTGACGACTTTTTATTTTTTCCCCATTACATTCATGCAACTCTTTTTCCTTTTTCGTTGTCCTGTGCTTAGTATAAATCAGAGAACATTTTTTGTAGCTTTTGAGTGCTTGGTTTACAAAATTCTGATTACTATCTGTGCTATTCACGTGTATATCTTCCATTTTTGTATACTGAATCATCTGTCTGAAACTTACTTTTGACTATGCTTTCATTATCCTCAGTTTTAAATCCTAATGTTGGGACTGCTCCTTCTCCTATTCTTTTTTTTTTTTTTTAAATCCTATTTGATTTGGTGAGTACATGTAAGATGTGCTAAGAAATTCTCTGAGTTGGTGAGTGCCAAGATGTGCCAGAAAGTTCGAGTTTGTGAGTGCAATGTAAGATATACTACTGCTAAAATGATATGGACATGAAGAAGAATTCAGAGTTCTATCAATTGCTTGCTTGTAAGTATCAAATCCCTTTAAGATCCAGAAAATAGAAATGAAGACTAAGATCCTAGTTGATAGTTAAACTTACTGGATTCAGATTTTAATATATTTAGACGCATTTGATAATAAAAATTGAATATTTGAATTAATTTTTAAGTGATATTGAATTTTCTAGGTAAAATTTGTTTTAAAAAATAAGTGAAAAATTATTCACTTATCGGTTAATGTGATATACATTTAAATGTATCAAATTCAGTACTTATTAATTCAATAATTTACTAGATTTATATTTCAATTTTCGAACTTCAATTTATTGAACGCGCCATAAGATCCTAGAGGCGTTGATACTTGGCCTTTCTAATGACAATAGTGGCACTACTTATTAGGTTACATAAGGGACACTTTCGCCTAATTAAGTGAAAATGCTTACCATTGATGGAGGGACTAGTTTCTGCTTTAAAATAGGTTCAGTAAGACTATGAAAATCTTCGATGACCCATGTGGAAATCTATCTTCTAAAACTTTTATAGAAAAACATACTGTACCAATTTGATATATGTAAGATAAAAAGGTGATTTAAAAATGCATTCATGAAAAATGTAAATATTTTTTGGAAAAAAAATTTGCAATGCAAACAAGGAAATCTGCTTTAAAATAGACTCGTTAAGACTGCTATAAAGAATATTTGATGGAGGGTCAGTGTTCTCCCAAATATTACAAAAGACGCTTTCCTCCGTTTAAGTAACAATGACTGTCACTGTTGGAGGAATTAATGTCTTTTCTAAAGTTTTGTAGGAATGTATAGAATTATGGAACTATAAAGAATAATATCCTCGACAGTACCCTAAAACTATAAGAATGATGGGACATGAGAACAATATTCTGATTACAATATATACCCTTGATATAGTATGGTGAAATAAAGAATGATAGGATCATAACATGATGTCTTTTTACATAAGGTTAGTCATCACAACCGCTTAATATATGCGATACTTTCACCATTAACAAGATTCAACACAAAATAATCTACTTGTAAGAGTCATCAATCTTTTGCCATTGACAAGATTTGACACAAGATAATCTATTAACTGGAGTCAGCAATACCATGCGTGTGATAGTACTTTGAAAAGTAACCTTCTCCAACTAATGTCAACAATGCTATGTGTATAACATCCAGTTATACGGGGCAAGGGACACCAAAATGAAAAAATAATGGTGGTTCTATTTGCTAATAAAAATTGACGTCCTTGAGAAGTTCGAAAAATATTTGATGTTTGCTAACAGGAGTTGATTCAATTAGCAAGGATAAATCACCTTTTTAATAAAAAGGTTGTTGCCACTGATGTGAAAATTATATTATGGGTAAGCACTCAATCAATAATCCCAACAATATGCCCCGTAATAGTAACTAGAGTAGAAACTAGGGTAAAAAATCGAAAAGCCTTCTGTGGTATATATAGTTATCCTATAGAAAACTCCCTTGTGATTTCGAATCATACGTGTCAGTACGTTATGATTTTAATTAATATGAAACATGAATGGAAATCATTAGAACAAACAATTTTGAGTGAAATGACAGAAATAGCCTAATAATATAAGTAAACAAGAGCTGAGGAGATTCATCAGTTTCATTCGAGCAAAACAAACGGAGAGAGAGAGAGAGAGAGAGAGAGAGAGAGAGAGAGAGAGAGAGAGAGAGAGAGAGAGAGAGAGAGAGAGAGAGAGAGAGAGAGAGAGATCAGCCTTTATCTTGATCAAACAATAAGATCGTAGGGAAATAATAGGAAGTAAAAATTTGCTATGAAAAACTCAAAGAAAAATGGGTGCATATGTCATCTCTCATCAATTTCGATTAGGATTTTGGGATATTCATTATGATTTACTGATTTGGGATTCAATGTTGAGTTAATTATTTAATGAATTTTTAATGTACTGAGTATCATCTATGCCTTGAATTGCTATTTTGATTTTTGATTGTTAGATTTGTTAGGATTTTGTGTTTGGTTGATTGGTCCATGTCATATTTGTTTATGTTTGAATAATAATCAAGTAAGGAATATTTCTGTTTAAGTGGAACTCTCATGAAGTACTGAGTTTCACTATTAAGTTATTTAATGAGTAATTGGCACAAGTAATTTACTGTTAAATTTGTAGGCTTATCCATTTTCAGGAGATTAATATTGGTAGAGACGTTGTTTGTTGTACTTATGTTATGTTAGCTTTTTGTATCATTGTGAAAGATAAATTACTAAAAAAATGGTTACTTTATTGCTGCTCATGGAAAAGGAGGAGAAAGTCGAGTGTCGCGCCCCATTTTTTGGAAAAAACAAAATCTAAGTGGTTTTGTACTGGAGTGATCGAATGGTGGAAAAAACGGAAGACAAATGAGTGAAAAATGGCCAAGAAATGCTGCTGCAATTTGTACCAATACTCTTCTTCTTCAAAACCCGTGCAACTTTCCCCCCTTTTTTTTTATAAAAACTGATTTTGATTTTTGTTTTCTTCTCTTTTCTGCTTTCCTTTTCTTTTTCCGATTTTTCTAAAATGATTTTCCTCAAGAAATAGAAATGAAACAAAATAAATTAAAATAAAATAAAATATAACTAAAATGAACAAAAATATAGGAATAAAATGATAAAATTTTGGTGTCTCCATCGAGGAAAAAGTAGACATATTTAGATTTAAAGAAAAACCAACTCTTCACTACACAGGAATCCACATGGTCATTTTCAAGGAAAGAGTTGAAGACCAGTTATTCATAACAAACCTGTGCAGAATATTTAAAAACGTAGAAGAGCATGCAACTAGAGTTAGTTTTTGGTTTTGTACCCCAACAGTTAACTTAGATGGCGCCTACATCCAATTAGAGACATTGATGATATTAAATTAATGAATGTAGCTTATTGGAAGCTGCCAACAAGGCTAATTTATGCTTGTAGTAGGGATGAGCCATTTGAAAAAGATCCTGAAAATGATAGGGTAATTGTTAGTATAATTGCTACAAATGATGGTGGGGTAGGAACAGTTACAAGTGTTGGTAAGGTAAACGACACTAAAGGATCAACTAAATCAAGTTCTTAGACTCTCTAAAAATCCTCAATGAAGTCGTCAGCTGTCGCGCCCCATTGTTTGGAAAAAACAAAATCTAAATATTTAGGTGTTAGAAAAATAAATTTTTGATTATATTAGAGAATAAAAAAAAGAAAAAGGGTCTAAAATGGGATTTAAAAAGTGCGACGATTTTGATCTAAAATATTAGTTTAAAAAGGATTTTTAGGAAAAATAGGAGTCGTCACTTGGTATTGAATTAAGGTGTACCAAGTCACCCAAAATATGTATTTTTAATAAAAAAAATAGATAAAACCCTTTTTAGACGACTCAAGGTCTTTGAAAACAAGATAAATGAGTTCGGGAGTCACGGGAAAAAAGAGAAGGCAAAGATTTGATAGAATCAAATCTAAGGCATCTTTTCAACTTAACCAAGGCTAGTTGCGAGATTTAGTCGAAAATTTTCTTAATCTAACCTATAAAACTTGTCACATTTAGATGTTTCTACATGGATGCAAATCTAGAGTTAAAGGATATCGAGAGAGTCAAAATATCTCTTCAAAGTTTAATTGGTGCAAATCACATTAATTGTGATGCCCAAAAATGATTTTTAGAAGAGGTCACGAATATGCAAAAATAAGACTTAAAGAAAAGAAAATTTATAATATATAAATATTCGTGACCTAAAGGAGAGGAATGCAACATAACGGGTACGGGGAAATTAAGATTCATGACTTGATTTTCCTTTTTATAGAGGGGATACGAGCGTGCTAAGACTAAGAAGCCATATTCGTCCATTCATATTTAAAGGGTGATTCCCTTAACTTAATCAAGTAAATGAACTAACTTACTTCTAATTTTCAAAATGGAATGCAAATCTAAATGTCATGTTTCTTACACATAGAGGTAAGGGAGATAATATATAGAGAAAATATCATACAAGATGACAAAAGATCTTAAAAATGAAAAACATGCATGAAATACGATAAATGTCACGTAAAAAATGTGATTCTATCGCGGGACGGCCTAAAAGATCTAGCATTGAACTAACCCATTTCTATAAGTCTTCACTAACGTTGAACTAGTGAGAAATCGGAGAAAAATACCACAACTAACGTTGGACTAGTGTGGTAACGTCATGCATTTATTATAAACAAATAAATCATATAAAATATAATTAAAGCAAATAAATACATAATGCATATAAAACACATAACACATAAGCATAATTTCTAGATGCAAAACCCTAATGAAAGCAAAGAAACACGTAAACACATAAGCATACAAGCACACAAGTAAATAAATGCAAATAAAAACCTAACTATTACATTCGAGGTCCTAATTACAATCTAAGAGGGGAATTTTAAAAATAATAATCTAACTATTATATTTATCTAACTAAATACATTTTTAATAAAAATTAAAACCTATCTATTTCATAGGCTAGCTAGATACATGTCTTGAACACCTATCTATTACAATTTGGCATTTCAATGCCTCTCAGATAATCATCAAAATTAAATAAAATAAATGAAACTTAAAATGAATAATTAAAAGAAAAAGCACTCAAAACATGCAATTACACATAAAAAACACATTCGAGCACATAAAAGAATTTAAAATAATAAAAAAGGTTACCTCCTTTGAAGTTGTGGTTAAATGAGGTGAAATTTGCCCTATGTATACTCCAAAATCAACAAAACAATCAAGACACCAATT